CGGCAAGGAGTGCTCGGCGCAGGTGTTCGGCATGGAGTGGTGCGCGGCGCCATGAGGTGTTCGGTGTTACGTGGGTGTTCGGCCTCGTAGGGGTTTGACACCGCATGTGCTCAATGTGCGGCTCGGCGGTCCATAGTGGCTCGGCATTAAGTGCCTTTTCCTGGGTTCTTGGGATTCTACGCGCGCGCCCACGTGGTGTTGAGAAAATTTGGGTGAGCTAGACACAACACCTACTATGGTGTTTGTCATAAATTTTCATTCCTTACAACAAGCTCAACTTGTCTAAGGAATGGGGGGGGCTAAATAATGTGGTCGTTAGCAGTGGCTCGTGAGAAATTGGTTGTGATTCGGTCATCACTGCCATATGAAAGGGACCGGCTAGGCATTATGGCAATCGGTCAGCTGAGTGAGTTCGGCATCTCCGCATGCCCGACACTCTTGAATGTTCGGCTCTGTGTCAGCGTCCATGGAAGGTTGGCCCTAAGGGGTGCTCGGCGGCCCTAAGTGCTCGGCGTGCTCGTGTGCTCGGCGGCTTCAGGGTGTTGGCGGTCAAGAGTGCTCGGCACTTAGGCGGCCGGGCCAGAGGGTGTCGTCGAAGAGGCTAGAACCTGAAGATGGCTTAGTGATCAAGTTAAGAATGAGTTGATAGCAACAAGGACTCTAGGAATTCAGAAGACCCTTAACCTAATTAAGTGGTTTATACGAAGATGACTTCTTATTCCATTGGGGTTCTTTAGCCCCCAACTATAAAAAGGGCACAGGTTCATTCATTTACATAACACACATACACGAGTTATCTCGTTACTCTGTCGTTTTCTCTTTGGACCACCACTGACTTGAGCGTCGGAGTGTTCGCGCCGGGACCACCCCCGACGTGTTTTTGCAGGTACCGACGATCAAGAAGACGTAACCCGATTTGGAGAGGAGCGATCCAACGATTCAAGTATTTGTGGTATAACAGTCCCTATATATACTCTTATCTAATTCTAACTAACTTGCCCCTAGCCCCAAATCATCTAACCCCAGCCACACATTCACCCCACTTTCATTTTTCGTTTATAATAACTGAATAAAATATCCTATTAACATTTTTGTTAGTAAGATAAAAAAAAAATAGAAATTAAAGTCTTCATAAAATTCTTTATTTCCTATTGTATATAATAAATTTCGATGGTTAATTAAAGCTCAGCGAATCATTATTTAATAAATACCCGCCTTATTAATTCATAAAATATCAGTACATAATTGGTTTTCACATCCTCCTTATATATAATTCCCAAATGTGTTGAACCTACGTGGCTGCTTCTGGTGCTTCGTAATCTTACTTGGCGAAGAATCATACTTCGTAATTAGGTTTGTAAAAATAATATTGATATATTAATAATTAATAATATAGGTTCGGACATTTCATAAATATTATTTATCTAACTTATGTTTAATATCACTTATACTAATATAACCCTTTAATATTTTACATAGTGAGGCAATAAGTGACTAATATATCTCTGACTTTTACTTGTTTCCTTCAATTAGCTATTAAATTGTAAATGTATTTTACAAGTTGATAACTTTTGTATTTCTTATCGGTTTTACATATATTATATATCAAATTAATCATCTTTTGATGATTTTCGATTTGACATCCATATTGTATACATGAAATAAAAAAAATTATATTCATCTTTATAATAATAAAGAATAATAATGTTTATTAAAATTTATTAGAAAAATAAAATTATTTATCAATTGATATATTTGTTTTTAATGTAGTTATATGTTGTAAGTTAAAAAATTATTATAATATGACACAGGTAAGTCGCACAAATAAAAAGTGACATACTAAATATATAATAATATATATATATATATATATATTTGTAAAAGGTATTTAAAATTGTAACTATTTTTTCTCATTAATTTTAGATTTTAAGAAAAAAATTAACAAGCATCGTGTAATATGTTGTACTAGTTTTTATATAATTAAAGACACCGTAACGTAACCACCTTCATTTCCATGCATGTGACAAAATTGCCCAAAAAATGGAATCGTATATATTATACTTGAATTCCCTTTATCAATACGACCATAGAAATTCATGACTCATTCGATTACACACCAAACCAAAACAGCATATGGGTGAAATCAATGAAATCACAACATGCTGGGAACATATGGAATGCGTGCGCCGGCAATCCAGTAGTCCCCGCCGAATGCTCTACCCGGCGTGAAGCTTTGTGCGGTCTTGGGGTTAATGTGCTTGATTCCCTTCCAGTGGACCCTGTGCGCTTGGTTCGAACCGGGACCACTGTTTTGGTACTCAGCATAGTACAAAGTGTCGAGTGCAAAGTTGCCCATCCATGGGGACCACCCTTCGGGGGCAATGAACCCGCCGATATTTACCTGCATGATGATTGTCCTCGACAGCTCCTTCCACGGGCGGCCGAGGTACACCTGAATCGGCTTGGGTGCCTTGAAGAGCGCTGGATCCGCCACAATGTCTCCACCCTGGATGACTATGGCACCTTGGCTTCGCGGGTCCACGCGGCCCTGTGCTGTGACCATGCACGCCTGGCTGTCCATGGGCCGGCGCACCACGAAACGACAGTTCTGGAAGATGGACAGTGCGTCCCCGAAGACGAAGTCGATGGTGCCTGAGATCACGCAGTTGCGGTAGAATTGGCGGTAGGTGTGGGCGTAGAGCGTGTCCTGGAAGCCGTTGAGGTGGCAGTTGAAGAACACGGCCCGGTCGCCCGACACACGGAGAGCCACGGCCTGGTGGCCCTCGGGGCCCGCAGTGTTCTCGACCGCGAGGTCGCGTGCCAAGAAGTCGTCGGCGTTCACGGCCAGCGTGGCCGACTGGAAGGTCTTGGTGCCCTGGGCGTAGTTCTTGCTGCCGCTGATGATCGTCCTGAGTGGGCCATCCCCGTACATGACGATCTTGTGGGCCCCCTTGGGGATCTCGACGTGCTCCTTGTACACGCCTGCCTTTACGTAGATGAGGAAAGGGACCGCGTTCTTCTTGGGAACCATGGCCACGGCAGCGCTGATGGTCTTGAACTGGCCGCTTCCATCCTTGGCCACGACTGCATTGGGCCTTACACTCAGAAGGTGGCGGCTGGGCCATGTACCAGGCTCAGTCCCGGGCTCGTAGTCGGTGGGGTCGTTGTGCCACAACATCTTCCTACTGGCGGCACCACCGCCGTTAAGGCTGTTGAGGTTGAGGGATGAGATGAGGGACGTGATGTCGTTGACCATGGCGAGGGCATTGCTCGACAGTTGTCGGGCAGTCTTCAAGAGATCCTTCATTTTCTCGCCCGAGTCACCGGTGGTGTTTTCGAAGGCATCGATGCAGGTCTCCTGGTAGGTGGTGACGGCACTGAGCCAAGTCTTGAGGTCCTCGACGTACTCATTGACCTTGGACCCGTCGAGCTCAGAAACCCGAGAGATGGACCTCTTGAGATCGTCGACGGCTGTGCCGAGGACTTCATCGCACACGTCGAAGGCAGCCTTGGTGCTGTCATCCTTGGCAGCCTCCTTCAAGAGGGCGGAGCTCTTGACGGCCGAGACTATATCGTCGATGGTGGAATTGAAGGCAGTCTCGATGAGGGTCTTGGGGTCGGTGGAGTTGGCGTTGGCGAGGCTCTTCTCGCAGGCATCTTTGTAGTCGGTCGGGGAGCAGATGGCCTGTACTGCTTTGCTGGACGTTCCAACGCTGGCACCATCGGCGCTGTTCTTGCGGGTAACTCCTACTGCCACGGCTACCACCATGGCCACCAGTAAGATGGAGGCCAGCCCGGCGATTGCAAATTTCTTCTTACTATCACCCATTTTTTTTTTTTTTTTCCTCCGGTGCTTTTGTTTATTCGGCAGAGATCGGAGGAAGGCTCTCTGCTTGATTTTATTTTTTTTGTGATATGTTATGGTGGAGATGAGAGGGAGGGTATTTATTGGGGATAGTGGTGAGGGAAATGAGAGGCTGGTCGGAAAATGTGGGAGAAAAATAATGCCTGAATGGAAATAGGTAATGGAATTTTGTGGTCCAAAAGTAGTTTAGATTGTTTTCTTTGGTTTGTACGTTTTCTTTGGCAATTATTAATTAAGGCCATGCAGACCATGACAAGAGAAGGATGCAAGCTTATGGTCATGCATGAATCAACAAAGTGCTCACTTGGATCAAGAATTTAGAGTATATTCTCCATAATTGATTGTAGAAGAGAAACAAAATAAATAAATAAAATGCTATTTAATATAAAAGTTGTTTAGAAGCAGGGGCGAAGCCAGAAATTTTGGTTGCTGGGGTCGGGGGTCTTACACGGTGTCTTATATAGATCCGCCCATGCTGCTGGGGTCTTATTATTTTTTTAATGGGGTCTTACACGGTGAAATTTTGTTACGTACAAGTGGTTCAACGCAAAGCGTCGGTGTCGGATGACCCCAGCAACTGGCTGTAGCTTCGCCCCTGTTTAGAAGTACTTCTACATCTAAAAATACTACTCGAATTTTTTTTTGTACCACATTGATTTTTTTGGGCCATGTGGCAACTAAATTGAGCAATCTAAAAACTATTGGAGATACTCTAGTTAGAAATATAGACATTATATACCACACAATGGTAAACATTGTCTTTGAACTAGTAATAGTTGTTGGTAATGTAAACTCAAACGGAAATTAATCCAATCCCAAAATCTAGTCATATCAAATAATTAAGAATTAATCAAATATAGTAGAAGAGTACCACAATTCATGATATGAAAATTCTTTTTTCTTTAGTTTTGTGTTCTTCCAAATGATCTTGTTGGACTAGTATGGTTTTCCAAACGACCAAGAACGTATGTTTTCTTTATACCCTTTTGTATTGAAGTCAAAAAGTACTTTCGAAAGCACCTCTTCAAAAATCTGCTTGTACATTTTTGTGTTTTGGGATCATAACCAAATGAATAAAAACTATTGATTTTCAGTTCGATCCTTCAACAAGCACAAAATCTCATAATGGTATCTACACTAAAATGCCAATAGAGAAACTAGATTCAATTCTTTTTAAATTCATAACTATTTGATACTCTCTTTATTCAAAACTAGTAAACAATATTAAAAAATAATTATAAATAGGTATCGAGTTCGAGTTCCAATGAAAGAAGTAGTTCCTATCTTAAAAGAGCAAGAAAAAATATTATAAATTAAAGATGAGGGTAAATGAGATTAAATAATAATTATAAATTAACGATGTGTGGTTAACATGTCATATAATTTATGGTATATTAGTTTATTATAAACGATATAAAATTAGCTTGTTCAAGGGAACATAAAATTTGTATATTTAAACAATTAAAACTCCTAAAATATTATATTAACATATGTAAAATTATCTAAAATTTTCTATATTATTATTAAAAGATGTGAAGTCACCTACAACTTTTCTAAACTATTGTGTAAAGAAAATATATCGAAAAACATCAAAATTTACATTTGTATGAAAGATGTTTTCTGAATATGACATGATAAAATATTATAAGCCTAAATAAATACTTTATAAAGTTTTTGAAAGATAATTTACCTAGTATATATAAAATAAATATCAATATGATGCTGAAGATTATGACGATACACAGTACCTGAAATTTTGAGTATAGAAGATTTCAAAATTATTATTATTCTTTTGAATAATTTGAGTACAAAAAAATTCAAAACTATTATTATTATTATTATTATTATTATTATTATTATTATTATTATTATTATTATTATTTTAAGTAATTGGAGTACAAAAGATTTTAAAATTATTGTAATTTTTTAGTTACTGTAAAAAAAAAAAATTGTAGGCATAAAATTCCACGCTTTGTGTAGATTTATCAATTATAGAAATAAAATGGGATTTATTTTATATTGAATACTAAGACAATTTTGAAAAAAAAAATCTATGTATTTTCAAAATTATCCTCTTGATTTTTGAAACATTGCATTTGTAATTCAACTTTATTATTGTAAAATTTTGAAACTTATGGAAAAAAAATTAAAGAGATGAATTTCAATTGACTTGAAATTCTTAAACCATTTTGAATTTAGTGTAGATTGAAACCAAAAAAATGGAAATTCATTATGATTTTGTAATTTCCAAGAGGTTTGTTAATTTTAAAGTGGCATAAAATCCTTCATTTAAGGATATGTATAGAAGCATGTGATTAGATATTTTTGAAATTCAATTTGAACAAAATTCTTTATATTAGGAAGAGATTTTGAATTAAACCCAATTTTATGGCAACTAAAATGAGAAGGGATTTTGAATTTCAAATTTTCATTTCAAGTTCTAAGAAAAAAATTTCGACAATCAAATTGCTTGGAATAAAAAACACAATCGATTTTTTTTAAAAACAAATTTATAGGTAAGTTTTAAATTTTTCTCGTCTCTTTAACAATATATGTGAATAATAAGTATAAAAATCTTATATTGTTTCATTAATTGGATTATTTTGTTTTTATGAATAATTACTTATTTGACTTATGAATTTACAACTCAAATTTGGACTACACATTAAATTCCCTAACATTTTTTATATATGAATATATTAAATATATAATCTCATAATTTTCTAGAGTTGTTGTCGGTGACCTTATCGTTCAAATTTATCAACTAATTTTCTAGAAATAAATTTTAAATTTTTAATTTTATTAACCAATATTTCTTGAAATCTTTTGGTAGCATATCAATAAAAATAAATTAGGTAGAAATAAAATAATTGATTGAAAAATTTTGAAAATTATAATCAATAGATTTAGATCAATTATTGATTTCACAATAACTTAAATTAAAAATTACATATGAATATAAATTATTCTCACTACATATTTACTAATAATTACCAAACTATTGCTACTGATTTTTTTGGAAATCAAATAGCCCATCTCGGTTTTTTTTATATATAAAAAATATTGAAAGAATCCATATGAATAGAGATTCTTTCCAAAAATTAAAAAGGTGTTGTAGTGAGATAATTATGGACAAAAAATTTTGAAAAATATTTCGTATTTTTATCTAACAAAATTAATTGAAAGAGTCCATATAAATGGGGATTGTTTCCAAACTTAAGTTATGATTTTTAGTCCATATTAATTATGCTATTTTCAGTATGTAATTAATGATTTTGGCGGGAAATTGTTTCTAAATTTGTAAAAAGGTTATTCTTTTTGTATAATGATAGATTATAAATCTTGAATTATTGATATTCTCTTTATTATTATTATTAATTAATCCTATCACATTTTCAAAATTTGGTAGGCCACGTTTACATCTAACATGCGTACAACAAATAATAAATGTTAAATGAAAACTAGAATTCCGATATAAAACTATACATTACTGTTAGTAAGATAGTGTTTGACCTCTTGCGATTTTTTTCCCCAAAAAACCCGAGCATTTCGCCGCATCAATCTTCGGCCAGTTGACCTCCTCCGGCGTCGGCGAGGCCGGGCCGGCGGTCGCCTCGACTGCCCGGCTTGTCCCTGAAGCCGTTCTCGCTCATATCCGGTTGTGATTGGTGGCATCGTCGGCTTGGCCCAAAGCTGTTGGTGGGTTGGATTCGCGTGTTCTCTCCCTCGAGTGAGGTCCGGTGGCTTGCAGGTTCTTGGAGCAGGACGACTGACTCATGTAGGGGGAGTCAGTCTCTCGTCTTCGGCAGTTTTAGCGCCTTGGTGCCTCCCCTGGGTCATTCGCAGGGGGCGACTCCGCTGGAGTTCTGAAGCCGGGTTGTCCACCGATGTGGTGGCGATGGGATGGAGGTGGACAGTGGATGCGGAGGGGCTCCGGTGGCCTGTGTTGGTGCTGTCGGAGTAGGTTCTCAGGCAGCGAGTTAGTCCTTCTCCGGCTCTGCTACTGTTTGGTCAGAGTCCAATGCCCCCGAGTAGCCTAGTGGTGTTAAGTGCGCTTGGGGTATGTCGGTTTGGGGTTGCTCGCCTGCTTGTACCCTCGGTTGGTGACAAATCAGTTGTAGTTTGGTTCAGGGGTGGGGGTTCGGTTTCTGTATGGGCTTAATGCAGTTTCGGGAGTTGTTTCTTGGCTAAGGGCCAAGCTGTGATCCGGTTTGCTGCTCGTCCGGGCTCATCTTTCTTCGGGGGAGGGTGTGGTAGTTTAGGTGTTCGTTTGCTAGTTTATTTGTTGTGTTGTTGCTTGTTGTTGTTTGGTGTCTTTGTGATTGTGTTGTTTAGGTCGTGTTCTTTGTTTGGGCCATTGGCCCCAGTTACATTCCCCTGTTGGGGGTTTGTATTTTTGTGATTGTGATGTTTTGGATGTGTTCTTGATTTGGGTCGTTGGCCCTAGTAACATTGTGTTGTGTTCTGGATGTGTTCTTGATTTGGGTCGTTGGCCCCAGTAATATTGTGTTGTGTTCGTATGATGTTTTTGGTTTGGGCCGTTGGCCTCAGTTCTGTGTAAGCCCGCCTGTGTGCGGGGATTATTCCTTGGGACTGTTTCTATTCTCCCGTGGGGAGCGATTCTAGTGTTTTATGTTGGTTGTGTTTGAGTATAGTTTTTTCTTTATTTTAGCTTAGCTAGCTGAGGTTCTAGGCGGTTTCTTGACCTGCCCTCCCAGTTTTTAGTTGTTAGTTGTTTTATTCAGCTATGGTCTATAATTTGCACACTTGTGCGTTTTGGTATATAATATCTATAGTTCTGGTTAAAAAAAGATATAAACTATACATTGCAAAATAAACATATCATTACCCAATTTAGGCGACATTACCACTTCAGTACTCCACTTTGATATTGTAGCGCCCCGTTCGATTTATAGAATTTCTTGGATTATTTTATTTACCAAATTTATATTTATGAGGTTATA